TGACTTGTGTGACCCTGGTTTTAGATTGACAGTTTCAAATCTGAAAGCCCATGAGACTGTTAATGCGATGTTGGAAAGCAGCTCTCTGCGTCTGGAGGTCACCTTTCATGGAGATGTTTATGCTGTGGCGGGAGGCCTGGGTGTGACGGGACGTACTGTAGAGAGGAGCGAGGAGGTCACAGGGAGAGTATGAGCATATGTGTTTGCTCATACTGTGAAAACAGCCCTCCGGCTTCCATCCTCCTGTTTACTTCTTCTTTCATCACATCTTTCACTCATCCTAAAGCCTTTCGCTCCATTTCACGCTTTCTCCCCTCATTTTCGTTGCTCTGTTCCGACTCTCTCCTCCCCCTCCCTCTCTCCAGCCATGACTCAGACTGCACCTTTGGCTGACCACCAACTCCTTAACATGCAGACTGCAGCACTCCTGCTCAAACCCTCCACCCACTTCTGCATCAGAGAAACAAACACACCCAGCCGGAGAATGCTGCCTTATGCTGATCCTGCAAATCATATGTGACCCTGGACCACAAAACCAGTCATAAGGGTCAATTTTTCAAAATTGAGATTTATACATCATCTGAAAGCTGAATAAATAAGCTTTCCATTGATGTATGGTTTGTTAGGATAGGATATTTGGCTGAGATACAACTATTTAAAAATCTGAGGGTGCAAAAAAAATCGCCTTTAAAGTTGTCCAAATTAAGTTCTTAGCAATGCATATTGCTAGTCAAAAATTAAGGTTTGATATATTTATGGTAGGAAATTTACAAAATATCTTCATGGAACATGATCTTTACTTAATATCCTAATGATTTTTGACATAAAAGAAAAATCGATAATTTAGACACATACAATGTTTTTTTTGGCTATTGCTACAAATATACCCAAGCGACTTAAGACTGGTTTTGTGGTCCAGGGTCACATATATTATACAAAATATATCTAAATCTGTTGTTGAATCAGCGCAAACCTCTTGAGGCCTGATGGGCTTGACACCCCCGTGAAGTATATGTAAATGGATTTTAATTTAGGTTTTAGTAATATAGTTATGTGCTTTTGTTATGTTTTTATTTATTTATTTATTTTACTATTTAGCTTTATTTCAGTTTTAGTTAATTTTAGTCCTTCAGCTTATTTTAAGTGTTATTCAGTTTTTTTATGCTTTATTTTAGGGATGCATAATATTGGATCCATAATATTGGATTTTGCTGATATCTGATATGCCGAACTCATTTTGGCCAATAGCCGATACCGATACATATTTCCTTTTGTTTGGAAGCAACACCAAGCCTCTCCTGTGCAGAGATTCTACATTTCTTTTACTTGTGGATGGTAGAGCATTGCGTTAGCAGCGCAAAAGGTCATGGGTTCGATTCCCAGGGAACCACACATACTGGTAAAAAATGTGTAGCCTGAATCCACTGTAAGTCGCTTTGGATAAAAGCGTCTGCTAAATGCATAAATTATTAAATTATGAATTAATTATTACATTATTATAATCAATTTTTTGTGATCTTATTGTTAGCACACCTTGAGCACGTGTGTTATTAGTCTTATCGGCAGAGCATATCGGCATAATATCGGGCCGATGCCGATATTTGCATTTTAAGCCTTTATCAGCCGAATGACGTTCCGATAATATTGTGCATCCCTATTTTTATAGTCGTAACATAAACAACATTGGTCTAACCTCTGATGACTTTTAGAATGGTCTGTCTTTCCCAGAAAGCTTGGTACTAATTTGGTTAAGTGATGTAATATGCTGGTGACAGCATTGCAAGGGTTTGTACTCGCTAGACTCTGTTTACCCATCTATTTACGCAAATAACCTTCAGCCATATTTTGGCCCTAGAAGATGTTTTGTGCTCATGAGAACCATTCCATAGTTATGGCACACTATAATTTCCTTTGTTTACCTTGTATACCCTCCTTTAGAGAGCCCAGGCTCAACAGCTTAACTGTATTTAACACACAGATGTTCTTCAAACTACAGTTCCCACAAACCATTGTAGTCAGTGGTTTGATAATGAAAAGCTTTAATAACAGCACTCTTCCAGATGGGAGAGGACTTTTTTGGTATGAAAATAGGAGGGTTAGCAATGAAAACAGCTGCTCCAAGCAGTCTGCTCGCCATCTGAGACACAAATTGGTCTGCCAATCCCGGCCAATCAGAGATACGGTGGGTTTCGAACATGAACGAGGGTGTTGAAATGCGACCTGCTTCAATCCGACGACGAGCACGATATGAATTTTTGGAAGGAGACTAAACAAAATGAGCACTGGCACTTTATACTGCCCTGGCCGCAATTTGCACAGTATCTTCTTCACTAAGATTAGATGTGGACTGTAAAATGAGTGGAATTTGGAAGGGATTTAAACCTCGATCCTTGGCTTCAAATGTTTCCCACCAGCCACTCAAACGGAATGCTAATCTCCATGCCTCGTGGGTACCATAGACTTGCTCTTTTATGGTTTCTCAACGGGCAGATAAACAGACACCTAAGCCATTTGGTTTCAAAGGTCCTCTTCAAGACACAGCCTGAGTGGGCTGTAATCGCCTGAGAACACGGTCTGAACGCTTTCCGGCATTATTTAAACCACCTCGTCATTCCATGGGAAAGATCCATTGCCTTAGTAACACGTACTCATTATGGAACACAACACCTCATGCATAATGCAGTAAGAAGTACATTAATATTCATGATTAAACCCCCTCCCTTTTCTCTCTGGCATGTCTTGGACACTAGAAATGTGAGTGGAGTAGCACCGATTGTTCAGAGATGACATCCCTGTTGTTCTTCCAGTTCCCTTGAAGAGCCATTCTGCTTTTAACCCCTTCTTTTACTATCCAATTTGTCATTTTTGCGAGTACAGTAATGGTTTGAAATGACTGTTAATTGGGTTGATTTCCTCTTTTGTTCCATCAACCGCCACATTCGGCGATGGAACAAAGCAAGACGTGTTAAAACGCTCGAAAGCCCTCAGTGTTATGGAGGTTGGTCACTGCTTCTAAAGATTAATGATGCATTACGGTTGATCATGATCGAGATGGAGACAGAAATAGGAGCAGCTGCATTATGAATTAAAGGCCTTGAGACCTTCTCTTTCACATCTCCTGGGTTTATCACCCCTGCTTTTATCGGTCATGGTTCAGAGGTTACGCCTTCTTTGACACTTGCGACGCTTTCCACTCGCCTCATAACACGACGAAATGACCAAAAGCACCTTTGATTCAGTGTTTGCCTCTGAAATGAAATTGAAATTGGTTTAATTATATTTAGAGGAAATGGCCCTTAGCCTTATGGATTATTCTAAGGGAAATCTCTCATCATGCTGATCAATATGTAATATATCATATGAAATCAAGAGAGTTTCTTTTTCCATTAACGCTGCTTCCTGCTTCGAATGGACTAAAGTTATTTGATGTATGTTGATAAGCAGAAGTTATGTCTTGGGTAAAGGTCAAAGTGATGGATCAGAGTGCTTATAATTAGTGCAGGCATTGGGGAATTCATATGCAATCTTTTTCTTGTAGTTTCAAGTTTGTTTTATTTCTGTAGCACAATTAAAACCTGCAATCACGGCTGACCAAAGTGCTGAACAAAACATAAAACAAAAGCACAGGGCAGATCACATATTAATAACACAAGCTCACAACGAATTGAAAGCCAAAGGTAAAAAAATAAGTTTTAAGAGATGATTTAAAAGCAGTTATAAGCCGGGAGGCTGTTCCACAGCCTAGGGCCAGTAGTAGCAAAAGCTCTATCCTCTCTATGCTTTAACCGTGATCTGGGGACAGAGAGCAGTCTAGGTTTTCTCAGAGAGAAAAGGTTTAATCTTGGAGAGAAGACGTAACGGAAAAAAAACAAGAGCCAATCACCGCATTTATTTGTTTGTCGAATTTGAGGCTACAATCCCAAAACACACCTAAATTCTTAACACAGGATGAAGTAAAGAAAGCAAGGTAGTCCAGGTCAATACTTCTACTCCCAGAGTTTTCATGGGGACCAAAGTCTATAACCTCGGTTTTTGATTCATTCAGAAATAGAACGTTTTGAGAGAACCAAGTTTTCACTTCATCTAGGCAAGCAAAAAGAGATTTCAGAGCAGTACGTTTATTGCGATCCAGGGGTAGATAAATTTGGGTATGCAGTGAAATGATACACCATGCTTTCTAAAAAATGGAGCCCAAAGCAAGTAAATACAGGGAAAAGAGAACAGGTGCGAGAATTGAACCCTGTGGCACTCCACAAGAAAGTTGAGCCGGCGACAAAGAAAAGTTACCCAGTCTGACAGAAAAACTTCTATTAGTTAAAAATTATTTAAACCAATTAAGGAGAGTTCCCTGGATGCCCACATAACATTCTAGTCGGGATAAGACAATATTATGATCAACTGTATCAAAAGCCGAAGTTAGGTCTAAAAGTACTAGGATCACAGAGTCGCCAGAGTCAGTCGCTAACAGTGTATCATTAAAGACCTGTAATAAAGCAGACTCGGTGCTGTGCAGAGACTTAAAACCAGACTGGAAGGTTTCAAAAAACTGATTTGAGCTAAGAAAAGACTGGAGTTGGACTTTGGTAATAAAAGGAAGAGTCGAAATAGGCCAAAAATTATTGAAATGACTAACATCAAGTGAAGGTTTCTTGAGAAGAGGAGTAACAGTAGGAGTAACTTTAAGGCTATCTGGGATAGTTCCTGAACTTAAACATTTATTCAGAAAAGACAACAGACTGGGTTCAACCAAATCAAAAATTTGTTTCAAAGTACGTGGAGGGAGAACATCATGGGAGCAAAAAGAATGTTTCAAATGGTCAATCATTTCTGTGAGAGACTGGAGAGAAACTGAGTCAAAAACGCTCCATGTGGCTGAAGAACAACGAGACTCAGGCGATACATTAGCAGAAGGTTGCAGATGAGATCTCAAAAGTAGTTTAAATATGTGCCATTGTAGTTCAGTTGATTTACCCTTGTATTTGTTCTCTCTTTTTCACCAGTGTTTGCGGACGTTAGTTGGCCACACCGGCGGGGTCTGGTCCTCTCAAATGCGAGACAACATCATTATCAGTGGCTCCACAGACCGAACGCTGAAGGTCTGGAATGCAGAGACGGGAGAATGTATCCACACGCTGTACGGTCATACCTCAACAGTGCGCTGTATGCACTTGCATGAGAAAAGGTAACATCTACCGCCTTCCAACCAAAGGCCACTTTACAGCCAGATACATATAGATTACACCACTGCTAGTAAACAAGCCCTTTACTGCTTTGTTTACATAATATGAATTTACATAAGATATATATATATAGGTGATTTAAATACATTTAAAATTAAATATATAATTGTATAAGTTAAAATTAGATATTAAATTTTTTTAATTTAATATAATTTGATACTAATATTAAATTTGATAGTGGTATGATTTTAAATATGTTTGGTTGAAATAAACTGAAAGTGAAACCCTGATGTAGAATCAAATTTGGATAAACAACTACCATGCATGAGTTTACTTACTTTCAAGTATTATATAAATTAATGTAAAGGATTGTGTGCTGGTTAAAGCGCACAGTTCCCATCTGGTTTCAGCTGCACACATTAACTGTGCGGAGTGGATCCTCTGAGTATTCACATACAGTCGAGATGCTTTGCTTCTTTATGCTCTGTTGTGAACCATACAATTGCTCGCCTGACAATATTCTCAGTGTTTTCCGTGCCTCTGGGTCCATTGCTGTGCATATTTTCCTATTGTGCCGTGCATGATTGCTTATTTTGTGCAGTGACCTCAGGCTTCATTGAGCAACAACAATAGTAGTTTCTGTTTGTTGCTCTTTGCATCACCAGCGCCCATTTTAATGTTCATTTTGCTCATTTAAAAAATATATTTATCAAACCCGTGTCCTAAGGGTCTGGTTTTGTAAGCAAATACTGTTTTCCCTTTGATTTATGTAATGCTATAAGCAAACACAACCCTTGAAGGTGCAAGAAATTGGCTGTCATAGACTTCTGAATTAATGCCTGATTGCATTCTTCCATTATAAGTTGAGAAAGAAATCATTTAAACTGTTATATGAAACTTTTAATGCATGCATGCTACTTTAAGATGTTGAGAAGTAAAGCCATTTGTTTTTCTCTCTCAGGGTGGTGAGCGGTTCCCGGGACGCTACGCTGCGAGTTTGGGACATTGAGACGGGTCAATGTTTGCACGTGCTCATGGGTCACGTGGCGGCCGTTCGCTGCGTACAGTATGATGGCCGTAGGGTGGTCAGCGGGGCCTATGACTTCATGGTGAAGGTGTGGGATCCTGAAACCGAGACCTGCCTGCACACACTCCAGGGTCACACCAACAGAGTCTACTCCCTACAGGTAAACAGAGACATTCACGTCCGTCCGCCTGACACACATGCCCTGTCGCTCAGAGGGCAGATTAATTAGAGTCTTTTAAAGCAAGAGAAAGAATCAACCCACTTAAGCCTTCTTTGCTCAAAGAACAATGAAATGTCTCTGTGGGTCACTGCTCCGTTAATTCTTGATCAGTAAGGCAAGAGATCTCTAAAGCATTGCTTTAAAGGAGCATGGATTAAGAAGCGCTATCATTCTGTCTATTCTTTTGAAAAGCTTTCATGACCCATGCTACTAAGTTTACATGAGCCACATACCTTCAGTGACTCAGAATGATCTGAGTGCTATTAGATCTAATACTAATAGGATCTGCAAAAATGTTCATTTTTAATGTGTAATTGCCCAATTTGAAGTTTTTATTTTTTTCGTAATCAATAACATTACTCTCATTCAAAAGTGCATTTAAAATGCTATTCATAAATACAATGCCTTGAAAATGCTTATTATATATGGTGCTGTTTTTAATTACAATTTATTTTGGTACGTTTTGGGCGACATGAAGTTCTTAAATTTCACGGTCAAGCTGATTTGTTAAAATATTATAAATGTTTGAAAAACGTTTGTCTTCCAAAGTAATGTGCGACAACCAACATGCAGAAACATTGAAAATAAAAATATTGGATAATTTGACATGGCAAGAGTAGTTCAGAGTGTAAAATGTCATGTGCTACAACCCACCACAAAACTTTAGGAATAAAAAATAAAAACAAAACGTTTAACAAAAATTAAACAAATAATTGTCTTTTTTTTTTTTCATGAAAACTGTACCAGTAAAACTGATTAAAATGTGTGCACACGTGTACTGAAGGTGTAAGGAAAGTGCTGTTGTCATTTCTTTTCATTCATTTTATGTCGTCAGTGAGTCAAAGTTTAACTATTGTTGAAAGTGGTTCAAAACCATATGAAACTAACATGAGTGCAAGATTTACTTGGTCAAAGCATTTAAACAAGATTTTTGTTATTTCTTGGACAATTGACTTGTCATTGACCCAGCAACTGTGGGACAAAGCATTTAGTCTGTAGTCCGTACTAATCCGCATTAGTCCTGATTTGTTCATATATCCATCATTTTAAGAGCTTTGCTGTAACTACATTAGAAGAATTTAATCGAACATAGTGGCGTTTAATACAATAACAATAGAACGGAGAATATCTGGAGTTCAGCTTGTGCTGCATCTCATTGTGAAATGAATCAAATCCCTGCGGTACGCAGTGCAGCTTTTATTGAATTGTTCTTGGCTTTTATTCTAGACAGAGAATAACTCTGAGTGCTTAGCCACAGTTATTTTCTTATATAACATGTCATTTATTAATTACTGAACACTGATTCATTGGATCCGCTCCTCCTACAGTTTGACGGCATCCACGTGTAAAGAAAAGGGACTATTGTGGCACTCTGTGTAGCGTCTTGCACATCAATAGAGAGCGGCCATCTCATTTACATTCACACAGTTGACTTTAGCACTCTGCTAATGGGTGTTCATGAAAGAATTCGTGCCTTTGAAATTGATATTTTTAGTTTGCAGTCACTCGTGTCTTTGTTCTCAGGTCTAGATGTTTGATATCATGATTCATTTTGCGTATCTGCCCGTGATGGTGCTGTAATGGCAGTCTAAGTACTTTTGTATAGACTCGCATGTTTCTTGGCCTATCAGAAAGACTGGCTCGACTCAATACCTCAAGGACACAGAATCAAAGCCATTTGTGCCACAGTATTTCCTGTAACCATAGTTACACGCTGCAGTTTGATTTCATGTCTATTGGTGATTTCAGCAATGCAGTTTGTGTGATGAGCTGCTCTATTTGGAATCCCTTGTTAAGAAGTACACTTTAGCATGCACTTTAAGGTCCAGTTCTCACTATTAACTAACTATCAATAAACTGCTAATTAGCTGCTTATTAGCTTATTATTATACATCTCAATTTCAAAAAATTGACCCTTGTGCTCCAGGGTCACATATGCTCATGCAGAATAAGGCATTAATATGTGCTTTATAAGTACTAATAAACAGCCAATATACTTGCTAATAAGCAACTAGATAATAGAGAGAATTGCTCCCTAAACTAAAGTGTTACCAAATACATTACAAGCATATATTCAATACAGTTAAGTGCACTTCTTATTTTACAAGTGATGTGAGTGTCTGATTTCGGGTTCTTTCCTTCATTTGCTCTCAGGTCCCCACAAGCACCAGAGTGCAGTGACATGCCTGCAGTTCAACAAGAACTTTGTCATCACCAGCTCTGATGACGGTACGGTGAAGTTGTGGGACCTTCGGACGGGCGAGTTCATCCGTAACCTGGTCACACTGGAGAGCGGAGGCAGCGGCGGCGTGGTCTGGCGGATCCGCGCCTCCAATACCAAACTGGTTTGCGCGGTGGGCAGCCGTAACGGCACGGAGGAAACCAAGCTGCTGGTGCTGGACTTCGACGTGGACATGAAGTGAAGGGGGTGAACTTAAAGGGGACTCGTTTGGAAAACGGGGAGGGTGTGGGGGGGAGAGCAACCTGCCGCGCCAGGACCGGTCGCTCACTTCATGGCACCTCCCCGTTAAGTTGCCGCCAACATTTCTCCCCATCACGCCACGGTCCGCGACTGCCGCCACAGTTCCGTTCACCTTCCGAAGTGCAGACGCTCACAGCATTCTGGGAAGGAAACTGACAAGAAGGACTTGGGAAGACAGGATTGTCCCTTTTCCTTCCACTCAAGGCGACCTTGCACAGAGACTTGTTCGCTCAAGCCTGACTGAAATTCACACCCATATGTACAAACATTTTTTTGTTTTTTTGAACAAAACAGTCAACACTGTATACATGAGACCCCTAATGCATCGACACGAACACGGAGTGATAAATAGTGTATACAAATGACACTTTAATGGAGACAGATCAGAGCTTTGTACTGCGGGAGTGATTCAAGAGAGAGAAAGGAAGCCAATTTTGTCGGTCCTCATCAACCTCAGCACACGCCAAATATCCCTTTCTTCCTCATGCGTTTAATTTTTCTTTTGTATCCGTTTTTTTTGCTTTGTTCCCCACAACTTGTCTTTTGGTTTTGCGTCAACAGCTGTGAATTAAAGTTTTGTGCTTTCTTTTCAAGTTCAGCATTTTTTTGTTTCACGATCCTGCCTCTGTTGCAAACAACAGGTTTCAGTATTAAGCTAAACCCACTCTGCTGTTTCACACGTTTATGGGATTTTCTTTTGTAATTTTTTTTTTCTTTTTGTAATTTAGTGCTCCATAAGCAGTGCCTCTCTGGATCGGAGATGACCTGCATTCGTTATGTTTTTCAACCAGTCTGGTCTCATTAGCTCATCAGTGCTGGTGCTCTGTGGTGCGGGTGCTCCCCCCCCCCCCCAGTACTGTCCATCCCAGTGGCCAAACTGGATTTTATGCTGCTAGACTCACAGAAAAATAAGGTGGAACTTTAACTGGCTGTGACGTTTTAGTCCCAGACGAAATTCTAAACAAAAGTTACTTGTGTAGTTTGAACTTGTAAAACGACACAAACAAACGTACCAACAAAAGCAAAATATCGACAAAACCGCTTCTCTTTTTTTGCCACTGAAACTTGAGCCAAATGTGCCTCTACGAGGCATAGAGGAGGGAGAATGTCTGACAAAGAGACGGGTTTGTCTGCTGAGATGAAACGCCGGACGAGTAGAAACTATTTTGCGTGTGTTTGCGAGCATGACTGGGTGTGTGTGCGGGTGTGTGTTTGAGCAAATTGTTCACACATTCCTTGGGACAAAAGCTGTTGTCATCCTGTTCTGTGTGGAAATGTATGCTTCGACTAAAAAGAATACCATTCTTGTTTTTAATTAGTTGAAAAACGAGATTGTTGGAACCGGCGTTAAGTTACCGAAGAATAAAGGTGGTCTTAGTGTACAGAAATGGACATCTGATTACATTTTAAGTGCTAGAGCTAACCTGGTTCCGTTGTTGACGCTCTCATGGGTTTTTTTGTTAGTTTTTTTGAATGGTAAAGCAGCTTCATAGATAAACAGGGCGTAACCGCATCCGTAGCCAAACGATTCGTCTCATCCTCCAAGTCACACAACTCAAGCTGAACTGTGAAAGTGGTTTAACACTGTATATTACAAGAAAAAACAATCTTGTTCTTTCTCCTGCTTTTTTTTTTTTTTTTTTTTCTTCCCGTTTAATTTATAATCTGGTTTGAGAAATCAGATGTTGGAGCTGTTTTATTTTTTCAGTTTATGTAAACTGCCTGGCATAACAGACAGATAAAAAAAAAGAAACCTTAAAGGGATTGTGTATTTGTTTGATTCATTTAGAATTTTTATTTTCTTATAACTTAAGTGCAATAAAATGTGGGTTTTTCTTTGTTCATTTCAACGATTTTGGTTGTCTGTGTTTCTCAGTGTGTGAAAGTGTCTCATGTGTCCTATAAAGCTTCTATAGTTTGTTCTGCTTAAGAAAAAGGCAATCCATCCATGGGGCGTATTGGTTAATGTGATATTCATTTAACAAGGCAGAATAGCTTCTCAAGTCTTCTAGACAGGGTGAAATCTCTTCTCCTTCTGGTAAATCTCATTCTCTCATTAAACCCCCAGATGCTTGAGCTACACCGCAGTGTGTCCTGCAGAACAGCTGATGAAACACTGCAAAACATAAAGGTAGATCAGTAATCCTTCTAAACTAGCCAGTGTTTGTTCGTCATTCTTTACAGTATGAAATACCGCGTACCTCACGGCATCAAGAGAATGCAAGTATGAGCTCTTCGACGTAAGCTAGCGTTGTCAGTTGAGGGATGATGTGTTTCTCTCGATCTATTGCAGAATCATCCTGCTTAAAGCTGAAGGATGTTCATAGCCTGTTGCCTAGCAATGGTTCAGCTCTGCTTATTTACCAGTGTTTGAATACTCGTTACTATAAGTCAATAATGAGTACTGGAAGAGAAGTCATACTGTAGCTTGTATATTATGCTCTGCACTTTAAAAAAAAAAACTAAAAAAAATTCACAGTAAAAATACTGTGGGGAGATTTCTGGTGTTGCGTGCAATTATATAGACCAATTTGGAGTAGACGTCACAGTTACGTCACTTGCAGCTGCGCATGCATTGTGGTGGCAGAACAACACTGGGACCAAGTGGAGGGAAACGGGTAAAATCCATGGAATAAGAGAAAAAAATGTATTGTGCCTTTGGATGTCAGAATCAGAATGCAAAACATTTTTATAAAATACTGTCGTCAAAGACGCCATTTGAAGCTAAACGCAGACGTTTAAACGCACAGACTATTGATGAAACCTGCTATGATTACCCTACTTTTAAAGCATAAATTTGATTTAAACAATAGGTCTATATAATATTCATATAGGGGACATATTGTATTAGCCCTACTGTTGAAATACATGCATGAAATACTATTTAAACCTATAACATTTTGCAAAACATTTACCTATTTTATCTCAAAATTCGGACTTTTTTTCTTGCTAATGCAAGTTTATATCTCCTAGTTCGGACTTTATAACTTTATTCAAGTCAACAATTGCGAGTTTGTCAATTCTGAGGAAAAAAAGCCAGAAGTGTGGGATTATAAACTAAAAAGAAAGAATGACGAGTTGATTTTTCTTACCAGAATTGTGAGATATAATCTCGGAATTGCAAGAAAAAAGTCAAAATTTTGAAATATAAACTCAAAATTACATTTTTATTATTTTATTCCATGGCATGAATAGACTGCTACGTTAAAACTGTAATTTTCTGCCACCAGATAGGCTCCGCCCACAAAAACGTCATCACTGTTTGCAAACACTAAAATTGGTCTATAGAACTATATATTTCATTATGATAAAACTACTCAACTACTGCTACTTGAATAAAATCCCCTAAATATTTATACTGATAACCACCAACATAATGGTGATTAAAAATAAAACCGTCTGGAAAATATAATATACAAATATTACATATGAAAATACACGTTTTATTACATCAATACCTACACACACACACACACACACACACATATATATATATATGTACAACAGTACTTTCTGATCCTCGAATCTGATTGGCTGATAAGAGTGCGATATTACCGTGGTAACAGAACTCCAACCGTTTGTATCACTCCGCTTGCCGTATTTCTCACAGCGACTGTCATGGCGGACGCCCAAATACACTATCATTTTTATGAATAATACTGTTTTTGTGTGACGGAATGTAGTTTTAAGAGTTTTTTTAGACGAGAATGTACTTGTTTAGACTTCAAATATGTGGTTTATTAATAAAGATAACGTCTATTTGAAAATTTGCTTTGACGTTTTCGGAGATGTGAGCTCCAGGGCGTCAGCGGCCGTTCAGCGCTCATGAACCCGCCGAGAGCAGCCTCACCTCGGCCAGATCTTTTGGAAATCACCGCTGGCTCTGATGTCTCTATAGTGGTTAAACATGAGATATAATTTGTTTTGTGTAATTCTAACGGGCAATCTTTGGTCTCATTAATCTATTATTTGTTCCAGAGCAAATAGTTTTGGCTGAGAGCAAAATCTCATCACGTTATATTTTATGTAACTTAAATGCTGTATATCAGAGCGCTGCCTTTGTACTTTTGACTGAATTGCCTAGCAACTTTTATGGTGGCTGTTATTTTTGTTTATTATTCAATAAATAATATTTAATAAAAATAATAGTAGTGTTTAGTGAGAAACATTATGTTCGTGATGGTGATTTTAGTGACATTATTCCTTCATTAGATGGCGACAAGAAACTGTTTTACGAGTCAGCGGTAAAGACTTTTATATTGAAAGAGACTGAAACGGAAGTTATTTTTACTTTTAATAACAGCTTGTAAGACGCAGTTAACAGATGCATTGAGCAGCGCTGTCATCAGAAATCACCCTTAACAAATGAAACATAGTACGACAAAGATATCGCTTACCTCAGCGGACATTCAGACTAATGTTTTATTGTGAATATGAGATTGAGCTGAAGAATGAATGCTGTATCAGATGCAGGTAATCACACTCTCAGTCCATCTCTCTCATCATACTCTACATATTATACAGTGAGCTTTTAATACAGTGATACAATACGCTTTTAATGAAGAACCTCAACGTTCCTTCGTTACTAAAGTTCTAAAGTGACGTTTTCGAATTAGTAACAGATCTTGAGCTCAGCTGTTAAACTCAAGCTGAGATTTGAATCTGTGGCGGAAGGAAGTAGTTCCGCACAAAAGATGGTTTTTAAAGACACTCCGGTGTTGTTTCTTATGTATTTTCACACTCGTGTCGTCGAACTGTTGTATAAACGCAATATCACACTCGTAGCCGTGCTTAATGGCTGTATATCGGCACACTGTGACTACCTATGGCCGAACCACAGCCGTGCCAATATACAGCCATATCTCACGGCTATGAGTGTGATATTGCTCATATACTGTGTATATATATATATATATATATATAGGTAACACTTTAGGGAGCAATTCTCACGATTAACTAGTTGCTTATTAGCATGCATATTACTAGCATATAGTCTGTTTATCAGTACTAATAAAGCACATATTAAAGCCTTATTGTGCATGATCATATTTTAGATCCCTTAATCCTAAACCCCATACCTAAACTTATCAACTACCTTACTAACTATTAACAAGCAGCAAATTAGGAGTTTATTGAGGCAAAATTCACAGTTACTTAACAGTGAGAACTTGTCCCTGAACTAAAGTGTGACCATATATATATGTGTAATATAATGTGCATTTCCATCATAAGTTTGGTCTTAAATTTCATATAAGGTGGTATATTTAACTTGTTTATATTTGTGGACACCCTGGAATATTTTTTATACTAAAGTTTAGAAGAAAAAAAAATAAAAATGCCTAAGGCATTCGTTATTTTGTTATGAAACGGATCATGTTTATATACAGTGGGTACGGAAAGTATTCAGACCCCCTTCAATTTTTCACTCTTTGTTATATGCAAATGGCTGCAATATAACAAAGAGTGAAAAATTGAAGGGGGTCTGAATACTTTCCGTACCCACTGTATGTTAAACATAATTTAATTTACAAAAAAAAAAGAAGTAAAGTATTTTTAAGTAACATTTGAATAGAGGTTTATTTTTTGCTAGTCAAACTACATTTCAGACATAATGGAGTAGAAAGATTAAAGACCATTGCATGAGATTCAGTGGAATCCTTGACTTTATTTCATTTCATCTTGCACAAACCATTTCTGACTTTTAAGAGGATGAATGAATAAATTCCATGAACTGTAAGTGAAATACTGTCACATAAGACACAAAATGGATGGTTCATTTATTAAAGGAGTTACGCAAGCTTGATGTCAGGAAAATGACATATATATATAAATATGCTTTTAATATACAGACCAATTCCCGGCATCTACATCTATAGGATGCAGCAATATTTATGCATCATGTTTTTGTAAAGGCCTTTAGACATCTGGTCTCTCTCTGTCAACTCTGGTTATATGGTTCTTTATTCATTTCTCAGAAATGAAGACTAACACATTAAAAATCAAACTGAGCCCTTGAGAGAAGAACTGTTTAGAGGAATTCTAATTCTTGACCATCAACTCAGTTTTGGCATCTTAAAGACTATTTGGAAATCAGACTTAAAGACTGCCTCGTTTGACAGAGCGACTAATCGCAGTGGACTTTCATGGGATCAGATGTCAGTTGCTGTTATACGGTTCACCTTTAACACATCTACTCTTGACATCGCTTGACTCACTAATCTTATTTAGACGCTGGCAAGTCATTTTCAGTTTTACTTCATGTGAATATTAGAAACTATCCGTTTTCACTGAGAAAAGTTTTGAGAAATCTCATTCGTTCAGTAACGTTTGATCTTTTTCATATTCAGGCTGTATTCAGAAGTTCACAGAGCCCTGTCTGTTACTCAAACACAATGTGAAAGAAAAAAAATAAGAGTGAGAGTGAGAGAGTGTCATTAGTGTGATAAGAAGAAAGGGAGGCCTATATTGAAGAGATGAGGAATTTATAAAAGTGGAAAGGGGGGATAAAAGATTAGGATCTTTTTCTTCACCCGGGTTCCTTTATTCCTGTAATCCTGCCTCGCAGCACGAGCGGCGCTCCATGGGAGAATCCTGTCTGTACAGTCTGATACTACCGGCTCCACAATAGATAACTGATCTACAATCATATTCACCGCTGTGATAATCTTAGGGGTGTAAAAAAACAAAACAAAGCAGTCTTACCCAGGAGTGAAACCCAGTCAGAGTCATACATTTTGCTCAAGGAAGGAAAACGTTTGATTTGTGCGA